GTAATTTCTCATGTGTCATCCATATTATTAAACTAATTTAATCCCCTAAATAAATCAAAAATCATGCCTATGCTCTGGCTTTTGACCTTTGGCAGTGTTGACCTCAATTACCCAATTGATGCACAAGTCACATGTCACTTATGTCACATAAATCACATAATTCAATTAAATAACATGTGACATAATAAAATTTAATTAATGTCCAGAATTAAATTCATAATTAGAAGGGAGAATTTATTAAAATAACCAAGCTTCAAGTTGTACAAAATTATATAAGAATTTTCACACAAAGGCAAGCCGAAAATTAAGTCAACTAAGATACTTTAAAAAGTGTTGACTTTTCATTTAATTACTCCCAAACTAAAATAAATTTTAAAAATATAATTTAACCACTCATCAACTAGACATAAAATGTACTTTTTCAATTTTTTTGTGTACTTTCTCAGAAGTTCATTTTTTAGACCAAAATACTCTTAGTACACTAAACCTAAAAACTTAAGTAATTTTTCAAATTTAATGCAATGTATGCATTTTAAGGTTATAAAATATTAATAAAAATTTTATTTAGCAAAATGCGTGTTCCTTGTTCTCCCTTCCTTCCTCCCTACTGTTTTCAAATTCTAACTAGAGTTATTTATCAAAAAGATGGCTATGCACCGTGGCGGATGCACCACGCACCATGACGCGTGCATAAAGAGGCTCGTCCTTGTTAATTGACACACATGCACTGTGACAAATGGCACAAAACCACTCCTTTCATATTTTTCTCACTTTTGATGCCTGAATGGCCTTACTTCATTTGAAATTCGAATTTAGGGCTGAAATCACAACCAAACACACTTATTAGACTCTTATGGCCACACACCATATTAATAAACTTAATTGCCTTAATTAAGCTTAGTTAATCAGGTTTAAATTTCTAGATTGTTACATACCAAGTGCCTTATATTGATAAGTGGAACAATTTTTTCCTAAACTATTTTTTCGAGGAAAAAAAAACCCCTTCTAGTAGTCACATGTTAAATTTTTCATTTTTGGTGATGTGGCATGTGTATGGGACTTACATGCAATGACAAGTAAGATTTTGACAATGTCTTTTGGTGTTAATTTGCTCATGAACTCTTTTTTCAGAAATGCTGGATACTTTAAAGTCTTTTTTAGAAGTGCTTTAGATACTGTCTTATTAAAAAAAATTTAATAAATATTAATCAACAGGTCTAGGTCTAGCAAAAGGAATGATCCTTTATAACTTGGCGAAGTAAGACTTGAATCCTTGGTAATTTTTACATTTATTAAATCTTTTAGGTCATTTTTAGTAGTTTTTTGATTAACTAATGGTCTTCTTCTAAAATATTATATCATCTAAATTCAATACTACATGTTGCAATGTTAGGAGTAAAATAAAAAAAAAACATGACAGACCAAGACTAACACGCCAACAAAAATGCTTATTTAAAAGATATCACATATTCTATTAATGTTATACAAAAAAGAGCTATTTAACAAGAGAATAATTAAGAAATAAGAGAAAAAAATCCCTCTACTTATTTGGAGATTTATTTTATTTGTTAATTTAGAGGTTCATTCCCTTCAATTTTAATACAAAGTTATAAAATATAAAAATATAAAAATATTAAATTTGGATGGTGTAATATTTTTGAGAAGAGTTAATAAGCAAAATGGACTATAAAGTATTGTGCAAAAAGTGCCCTAGATCCTGAACTCTTAAAATATATAAAATGAATCCTAAACTTTTAAATTCATGACAAATATAAAATTATAATAATATTAAATAAAAATAATATTAAATGTATATATAAAATAAAAATAAGAAAAATATAAATTATAATTCTATAACTTGTCAAATATATGTGAATCTTAGTTAAATAAAATATAAATAGACACAAAAGTATTTGTATTTACACCTATAACTATCAATATCTTTATAAAAAAATAGTCTTAAATCATATTTTATACATGTAAATTGTTCAAAAATAAAGTTGGCTTTTAGTAAGATTTAATTTTTAAATTATTCTATTTTTAAAATTTTCTAAGCTTTTTTAATATTATATTTAAAACCATCTGGTTTTCTGAAAACTACTTCAATTCCCAATTTAACTTTAATTTCTGGCTTAATAGCAGCTTAATTCTTATCTAATCCAGGTCAATCATGAAAATAGTTTTTCAGTCCAAATTAAGTCATTAACAATGACTCCGGTCAATAGTTATAAGCACAAATGCAAAAACTTTTAAATCTATTCATATCTAACTTAACCAAGGTTCACTTATATTTGACAAGTTATAAAATTATAATTGATAATATTATTAATTTATGAAATTTTATTAACATGCTATAATTTTTTTCTTATATTTATTTCATATATACATTTGATATTATTATAATTTTATTTTTATTATTTTTAAATGGTGAGAGCAACATTACTCCTTTGAGAATAGTTTAGGGGCAAAATTGCACCTTAACTCATAAAAAGTGAGTTCCACTAGCTATAGTAGCGAACGTTTAAATGGCAGGGGCAATATTACTCTGATTTAATTAGTTTAAGGGTAACATTATTATGATAAATAATTTAAGGGCAACATTATTCATCCATAAATAATTTAAGGGCAAAATTGCATCTTAACCCTTAATAAAAAGTTAACAGTAAGGTTTAATTTTTCATAAATTTAAAAGTTTAAAATTCATTTTTCACATTTTAAGAGTTCAGGATTCAAGATATTTTTGCACAATATTTCAAGGTCCATTTTGCTTATTAACCTTTTTGAGAAAGACCATTAGTTGATCAAAAAAATTACAAAGAATTATCAAAAAAATTTAACAAACTTAATTAATATGAAAAATATAATTGATATATAAAAAATTACAAGTCATCTATAAATTTGTAAAAAACTAGTTTGGATTGTTAATTTTAAAAAATAATTTATAAATTTTGGATAAATATTTATAAATAATAATACCTAAATTATTAAATATTAAAATGTTTAATATTTTAATAATATTTATTAAATTTTATTTTAATAAGGTATCAAGATATGAAATGCTTTTAAAAAAGACTTTAGGTATTTAGGGTTCCTAAAAAAAAGTTCAGGTACATATTAGTACTAAAAAACATGGTCAAAATCCTACTTGTTACCGTGCATAGGTCTCACGCACATGCCATGTTGCAAAAAATGAAAAGCTTATCAAGTGACAAATGGAAGAGATTTTTTTGCTCCTCAAAAAAATAATTTAGGAAAAAAATTACTTTATTAGTTAGGGTACTTAACACTCGTCAAAAAGGAGTCCAAGGATAAAAATAAATTTTTTAATTTTTTTTATTTTTCAAAATAAATAACCAAAAATACATTTCTAAATAGGTTTATTTTTTATTTTTTGTTTTTTTAGAACAAAATTATTTAGAAAACAGGTAGCTAAACAAGCCTATGAAATAAATAGTGGCTATGTGAGAAATGATGGTAAAGATGAAATGACATGGTATTTATCTTTATTATATTGAGAAATGCTGAAAAGATATTAAAAAGATTAATTAATTTAAGTTGAGTTTTAAGTACTAAATTTTAGAAGTTTGCAAATCCATTTTTCAATTTTGCAACTACATTGTGATGAATTTACAACTTCTTTTCTAAATTTTAATATGGTTGAAGAATAAAAAAATTATTTTTCTATTAAAATTTAGAATATAAGTTGCAAATTTATTATAACAGAGTTACAAAATTAAGAGATTGAGTTATAAATTTTTGAAATTTAAAACTTAAAACCTAATTTAAACTAATTAATTCTTTTGAGATCTCTCTATCATTCTTCCTATTATATTTGTTTAATATTTTTCTTTGTTTTGAATGTCGTTATTTTGAATGGTTCTCTTACTCCTAGTACGTGCAATCCTAGGTTGGGAGCTAATTGGAGATATATTTTTTTGGCTTAAAAATTAAAATGATTTAAATTTAAATTTAATATAAATTCATAGGATAAAATGTAATTGGAAAAATGACAATAAAATTCTTTCAAAATATATAAATTATAATTTTATCCCTCAAAATGTTATAATTTCCTTAAAGTCTCTATGGACTTTTCTGTTATTAATAAATTTATATAAATTATCAAATTATCTTATTAAAAATAAATGATTTATAACTTTTTTTCTTATATTTGTAACTTTCCTTCTTATATTCACAATAATGCAACATCAAATAAGGAATTTAACATGTGAAGTTGTGATTTGCTACTACATTATTACGAATTTATCAAGAAAAGTTATGAATCATTTTTTTGCAACAAGAGTAATTTGATAATTTATATAAATTTATTAATGACAAAAAAGTTCAAGAAATTTTAGAGAAATTATGACATTTTAATAGATTAAATTATTATTTATATATTTTAAAAGAATTTTATTTTCATTTGTTCAATATAATTTTGTCTTTTTAAAATTTCAAAATTTAAGAATATTTAATGTAATTAATGTTTGAGCAATTATCACCAAAATTTTAAAAACTAGATTAGATTGGTTAGTTTGAATAGTTTAACTATGAACTTCACTCATCTGCTTGGTTGATGTAATGACGCCTATGAACCGTTAGAACTTGAATGTTTGAATTTTGAACTGGTCAATAATCAATAAATCCATTAAAGAACTAAAAAAATCAGAGCAACCAAGGAGTTAATGGTTTGACAGGTTCATGATTTATTGTTATTATGATACTCCTTTATTTAAAAATATAAAATATTTTTAATTAAATTTCATTTCAAATTTACTTTTAAATTAATTTTATTTTTTATATTTATTTTTATTAAATATTTTATAATAAATATAAAATTTTTATTAATAAAAATATTTTTTTAAAATAATAATTATATTTTAAAAAATAAAAAATATTTTATATTTTTAAATAAGGAGGGTATTATTCTTTTCACTCTATATATCACAATTCACAACTACGCCGTTTTTTTTTTTTTTATGTTGTGTTTTAAAAAAAAAAATTAAACCCTAAAAAAGTTAGCAGCCCAGTCGACAAGCGTCCGCGATCTCCGGCTACTACTTCCCTCGCTCCAGTCGGTCGCGATTCACTCTGTCCGAACTCTCAAGTCTCCGGCGCCATCGTCAGTTCTGCTCTCTGCTCGCATTCCTCTCTGTCTCTGAAGGCTCGTGTCTGTCTCTATCTCTCTTGTTCGTCTCTCTTTCTCTGTAGAGGCTTTCTACTGGGTTCTGTTCTGTTTTCGTGTTTGCTGCTGATGCTTCATGCTTCTGATGTTAAATTGGTGTTTAATTTTTTCGGCGTTGTTATGAGATTTGGGTTTAATTTCTCAAGTTGCTTTTGATGGCTTTCAGCGGACCGTGTCTGTTTTTGTTGTAGCCACCATTTTTCTACTTCAACGCGTTGTGTTCCTATAATTCTTGTTCGGTGTTTACTCTAAGATTGTTCACATAGTTGGCTTTTGAGCTTCTATAAATGCGGCACTGTTTAGCATTCCGCACTCCGTTGGACGCTGTCCACCACTGTCACCCCTGCGTGGTTATTCTCGGTTCGGTGAGATTGATTTGTTCAATCTGGCTTTGAATCTAGATTTGAATTTGTTCATCGCGTCATCTGTTCTCTTGTTGTTCTTGCTTTGTTTTAAATTTTTCATTTTAATTCAGCTTTGAATCTGGTCATGTAATCGTGTGAATATTGACACTTTTGAATTTGGGAATATTTACAGATTGAGTTTAATTTTTTTTTTTGTGCTAGTTTTTACTTGAATGGCGTGTAATTGGCTATTATACTTCTGCCCTCTTCATTTTGATTACTGGCGACTTGTATGATTTGGTTTGCGTTGTTTTGCAATGTTGGATTTGTTGTGTATTGGCATTCTGTTTGTTAGTTTTTTTTATATTATCACCAATTTAGAAAATTGTCAAGGTATTTGTGATGTATGATGTTGTAAATGACTTGGCTCGAGTTGTGTCAAAGTATTTGGAGCAAAAATCTAAGAAGTTTTATATCAGCTATGCATATTTCAAAGATTTCAGTGGCGGCAGATGCCCCCACTGAGCGTAACATAGGTCCACCTATGCTGCGGAATATTATTTTGGAATCTAACGTCTTACTATTATTGTCATATACCTCATAAACTTGATGATTCTTATACACACGTTTCGTGTAAAATTCTGGCTGAAACTTTTGTCATCTTGCCCATCACATATGTTGGTCTAAAGTCTCTTACATTACTTAGTTCAGGTTAATGGAAGACTGGAACTAACCTGACCTGAAAAACACATTCTTTCCTATCAAATTTATCACACAACTCATGGCCATCCTACACCTCTGTGCTTCCCTTTGTACGGGCCCAGCCATTACATGTTCCAAACATTTCTTCCATAACAGTAACTTTGTGCCTTCATCTGTTGCACACACAGTCCCAAGACATACTAGAAATATAAGATTCTTACATGATGTCAGAAATCCACATGAAAGGGTGAACAGTAAGGATATTGACATTGATATTTTTGAACAAGAACAAGAAGTCAAGGATGAGGATGAAGGTGAATTTTCAACTCGGGCACTGTGTGCAAGAAGAGAAATTGGGGACATCAATCTAAACAATGGACAAGAAAATGAAAATGATGACGCAGCTGGATTTTCAGGTCAAGGACCATATACAGGTAAACAAGAAAAAGATCATGACCGTGATCCAGAATTTGCTGAAATTCTTGGGAGTTGTCTTGATGACCCAAACAATGCCCGATCCAAAGTAAGCAAAATGATCTGAAGGTGGTTTGCGTGTTTCTACTTTAAATTAAATGTCTACTTGATTTCTTCTGACTGAGGAAATTTATCTTTTTCCCATGATATTATTCTTTCAATGATGTTTTTTACTTGGGGGTTAATGGCCTTTTGAAGTGATTGAAAGTTAAGGAGACACTTCAGTGAGGAATGTGCTCATCAAAGCTTCTTAATTTAATTTTAGATGGAGGAGAGGCTAAGAAAAAAGAGGAATAAAATACTGCACACAAAGAGTGGATCAGGTGTACCGATGAAAGTGTCATTTAACAAGTAAGTTTAATCACAAATGTCTGTGACCTTGCAATATTTTGTGGTCATTTACACGTTTATGAAACCAAACATGTCAATTTCATTTGACGTCAACTTTATATGCTACTATTTATTGCAGTGATGTCTCTTAATAATCTATTAAAATATATGTAAAACATTGCATTTGAAAGCAAGAAATAAACGTGGTCTTTGGAATTTCTTTGAGAGGGTCATCTGCATGGCTTTAATGATGAAAGACTTTGCTGTGACATTCTTAACAGATAAGACCAAGAGGAGGCATGAGAATTCCCACCCTATTTAGAGAAAATACTTTGTCCTTCCATGAACATTAGCTACATGGATCTCTGCAATATTATATATGAACATCTCTTATATTTTTGACAATCTGCTCAAATCTATCCCTTTTCAAAGGAATGCTAAGAAATTTAGTAACTAAGGCATTCAAAGGCCGGTCAAAATCTAGATTTGGTGATTGTAGGCCTAGAACACTATTGTAATTTCTGTCCAATCGGAACTCTAGCTAGTTTCTCCCTGATCTGGAAAGTCTGCATGGTTTTATTCCCAGCCACCTCATTTAGCTCAAGTACTGTTCAAAAACTATTATTTACAATATGTCAAGGGTGTTGTAGACATTGAACCACTGAGTTCCCATTTTGACCCTTAAAATGGAATGAATGATAGTGTGGAAACCTGCATTTTTAATGCTAAATCCGTGGCATGTTAGAGTATTTTAAGCTTCATCATATCAATTTACATGGTTAGTTAGTTGACACATAGGTCACATCCTACCTTTCCTGTTGCCTGTACTTGTGGGAAAATAAGTATCGTTGGTCTGAAAACTTCTTGCTACAGTAAATTATAGGCCATTACTCAAGACCAAGACACTTTGCCCCGCTGATTAGTGTTATTTAGGCAGTGTTACATTAACCAGTTCAATTAGTAATTTTAACATGCGTTCTTCAGATGCACCTTAACATTATCTTGGTTTCTCTTTGGCAATTCTCATGGGAATTGGAAATTGTGAATAAATATTTTGAGCTAAACAGAAATATTATGCGTGTATAGTAAAATAGTCATGGGTTTTTAGAACAAAATACAAGTGCAAATTTTCAGGTGTTCGTCATCAAATTTGCTTGCCAAATATAATGAAGATATTCTTCAACAGATCTCTTCTTTCACAATTAAAAAAGAGAAAATATAACTTTTAGTCTTTGAACTTTTCCTCAATTATCTATTTAGTTCTTGAATTTTACTCATTATAACTCAGTTTCTATAGTTTTGACTCATTACACCTCAATTCCTATAATTCCTTAACTCAATAAATTACAAGGATTAAGTTGTACTAAGTCAAAGTTTAAGTACTACATTGATAATTGAGAAAAAGCTTAGGGCCTAAAAGTTATATTACTTTTTTTTTTTAAATATATAATTGGGGGAACATAATAGCAACTTCAAACAACTAAAGAACTTTATCTAAGTCTTGTCCTTTACCTTTTCGTTGTGTCCCCTAACATGCCTTGTAATTAAGCATCAAATTAAGTCTCTATTTTATTTTATTATAATCTCAGTTTCTTATTTTGAGTTGAAATATGCCAAACAATGTAATTGTTACTACTATTGTTCATACTCTTAATGGTGGAATTTCCAGATTTGATTTCTCAAACTCATACATATGGATTGAATTCTACAACACTCCACTTGCGAAGGATATCTCCTTACTTTGTGATGTAAGGGACTTCATGGAACTCTAAGACACTTTTGTATTGTTCATTGCTGACTATGATCCTGTTTTGGCTCCTTGCCTATAAGTTTTCCCTGGTTTTACACCTTGTTGGGTTGCCTTTTCAATTTGATCCTTCTTATATGGGGTGTTTTTCAATTGATTTCTCAATTTAGTCTTTCATAGATAAAGTTGATACTAATCCCATCTAGTGGGATAAGGTTTGTTGTTGTTCTTATATAGATAAAAATGATAACGGAAAGAAATCAAGAGAGAAATAAATGATACTGGAAAAGTGTCGTGCTTTATTGATATGAAGAGGTTACAGTATATGAATGAATCTAATAATAACTAATGAATATCTTGATAATATTTAAGGAATGCAAAATATTCACAAAATCTAAACAGAGTAAGTTTTAATAGATAAGAAATATAAACAAAATAAATCTTTATAAATAATATATAGTAACACTCCCTCTCAAACTTAAGATACTCTTGAGTTTACGAGAGGTTGTATTGATCTGAAGAATCTAAACAAAATCTCGAAGTGATTCTTGAAGGATGAATCATTATGTGAAAAATGTGGGAGTGACGAAGCAAGGTACTACTGGAACAAGCTAGCTTCTCTCAATCCTTGACAAATTCAGGAGTGATTTTTGAAAATTTGGGAGTGATTCTCAAAGGAATGAATCCTTGGGCAGGAAACTTGGGAGTGATTGTTGATAGATGAATCATTAGGCAGGAAACTTAAGAGTGAAGAAGCAAGATATGGTTGGAACAAACTAGCTTCTCTCAATCCCTAGCGTACTTTAGGGTGGTTCTCTAAGGAATAAACCACTAGGTAGGAAAACTTGGGAGTAAAGAAGCATGGTACGGCCTGATCGAACTTGCTTCTCTCAATCTCCGGCTAACTTAGGAGTGATTCTCAAAGAGATGAATCACTAGATAAAATCTCGAATTAAACTATTATTTAAAAAAAAAAACAGAGGAGGAGGAGGGTTAGAGCTTTGCTGTACGAAGCTCTAACCCAAGCAAACTATCAAAACTTGATTAATCAGACTCTGATATCTTGAAAGAAAGCAAGAGAGAAATAAAAGAGACTGAAAAAGTGACGTACTTTATTGATCTGAAGAGGTTACAATATATAAATGAGCCTAATAATTAATAATAACTAATGAATATCTTAATAATATCTAATAAATAAAAAATATTCTCTAAATCTAAACAAAATAAATCTTAATAGATGAAAAATATAAGCAGAATAAATCTTCATAAATAATATATCTTAACACTCCCTCTCAAATTTAAGATAGTCTTGAGTTTGCAAGTGGTTGTCTTGATATAGAGAATCTAAACAAAATCTCAGAGTGATTTTCAGAGGATGAATCACTTGGTGGAAAACTTGGGAGTGAAGAAGCAAGGTACAACTAGAATGAACTAGCTTCTCTCAATCCCTAGCAAACTCTAATGATTCTTGAAAATTTGGGAGTGATTCTCGGAGGAATGAATCACTGGGCAAGAAACTCGAGAGTAATTAGGCAGGAAGCTTGAGAGTGAAGAAGCAAGATACGATCAGAATGAACTAGCTTCTCTCATTCCTTGGCAAACTCAAGAGTGATTCTCAAAGGAATAAATCACTAGGCAGGAAAAATTGAGAGTGAAGAAGCAAGTTATGGCTTGAACGAACTTGCTTCTCTCAATTCTCGGCAAACACAGGAGGTGATTCTTTAAGGCATCAATCACTAGGTAAATTCTCTCGAATTGAACAATTATAAAAGCAAAATAGAGGGAGAGAGGGTTCAAGTTTTGCTATACAAAACTCCAGCTCGGGCAAACTATCAAAACTTAATTAATTAGGCTTTGATACCATAAAAGAAATCAAGAGAGAAATACAGGAAATTGGAAAAGTGACATACTTAACTGATCTAGAGGTTACAATAAATTGATGAACTTAATAATAACTAATGATTATTTTAATAAAATTTAATGAATACAAAATATTCACTAAATTTAAATAGAATAAATCTTAATAGATAGCAAATCTAGACAAAATAAATCTTCATAAAGAATAAATCTTAACAACAACAAATTCCCTTCCTTCCTTTGTTTACTATTGATGAAACTCTTTTCTCAATTTATAAATTATGCAGGCAGTGTTTTGAAACCCGAACCGGAGTGGATGGTCAATCGCTTAGTTCAACCATTTGGACTACTCAAGCATTTGGATTGGGTTGACTTGGACAGTTTTAAGAGAATCAGGTTTAACCTAGAAACCGGAGTAGTCAAAGCCGGTCAAAGTCTTAAAAGGAAAAGGAACAGAAAATTAGGCTCAGTTGCTAAATTTGCAATTTCTCTTTTCTAATACCTATTTTTCTTCTCTAATCTTTGATCTCTCTCCCATGGCCTAGGCTCAATTCTAATCTCTTCTCTAGCCTATGCCCCAACGATCCAACCTTTGGCAAATAGAACATATTGTGCAATGGTAGTGTTACTTGATAGTTGATACATTATGGGTTTTTTTTTTGGCAAATTAATGTTTTATTTATATATTTGCATATATAATATTATTTTTATTTAATTTTTATGTCACTGATTTAACTGCTGGTTTAACCGATTGAACCATAAGAATTGCAACCTATTGTTCTTTCTAGTTCAACGCCTGGTCCAGCTTTCAAAACATTGTATGAGGGTGACTAAGTGATAAGTTATCAAAAAATATATTGCATGTAATCACATTTGTTTTTTTTTTTTTGTATTATAAATTAACAGAAAGACATTATTGAGAAACATATATCTGCTGAAGGATCAAATTGAGAAGGCAATTTTATGAGGAATCAAGTTGAGAAATACTACATCCATGATGATTGTGAATCAAATTGAAAAGGTATTCTATTAAGGATTAAGTAGAAAACTTCCTCATCTGTGAAGAACCAAGATGGGTTTTTAGTCCATTCCCCAATATTTAAAATGACACTGGCACTTGCATGTGTTAGGAAATATGATTGACTTCGTTGGATTTGACTTTCATTAGGCTGTTCGAGCATGGCACATAGTTGGACGTCTTGGTGGATGCAATTCTATGAATATGCAAGTAAGACTTTATTGTATGCCTGTTGCTTGCTTTTTAAATTGTATTTTTGAATGTAACTGGATTAGGTCCTATGCATTTATAAATACTCCAAAATGAGCCGCTCTGTTCACTTTTAAATTTTTGTGTATTTTATATTGATAATGTTTAATGCGTGCCTTACTCATACAGCTATCACAAAGTCCTTTGGACAAAAGACCAAGTTACGATTATATTCAGGGAGCAAATGTGACGCCAACTGCATTTTACAACATTGGGGATCTTGAGGTTCAGGATAACCTGGCTCGAATTTGGTATTGAACCCCAATTTATTCTTCCTCTTCCCCCCGTCCCCAGGGGTTACTGCTTGTTCACAAATGAATGAGATTCAAGGTGCAATTATTAATAATTTATAGTTGTGATATGACAGGGTGGATATTGGAACTAATGAACCATTGCTGCTGGATGTTTTAATAAATGCATTGACACAGATAAGCTCTGAGTATGATCTTGACTTGATTTTTCTTTCCTTGGTTAGCTTTTCTGTTTTAAAGGACTAACAAAACCAGAGCCATTTTGGCACACTACAAAATAGAAGCCGGGTATTGTTTTTTTTTTTTTTTTTTAATTTCTGGGTTTGACTGTCATGTCTTTATGCATGTAAGCAAGGGTCTTCCTTAAATTACAAATTTATGGTTTAGACTATAATTTATGTGAAAGGCAAAAAAAAAAAAAAAAGACATCTATAATGTGATGGGTTCCTAAGCATTCCCGATTCATACCTAGAAAGTTTCTCTGGCCCTTTATTAATCGGGGCTAAAATTTCAGAAATTAGAAATGCCAAAATAGGAATAAGACTCGATATTATTAGAAATACCCAAAAAATATCATATTCGTAAAGCAAAAATATAGATGTACTCCTATGAATGTGGAAAATCTACCAGATTATTATTACTCGATTCGAATTGGAATTAATTATCAAGTCAGCCATAACTGTTTATAATTTGAAGCAAACTACTCAGTTTCGTTCGTTTCCTGTGGTACATATCTCATTTCAAGATAGAAATGTAATGAGAACCTTAAAAGCTAGTTGTTGAGGTGAGAGAATCAACACATTTAATTATTCATTGAGTATTTTATACTATTCAATGTGAGATTTGGTATTCCATACTACTAAGCCTCCATCATAATAATTTTGGCATTAATCATGGCCATTGACTGCAAAACTCTCCTTCCCCCTCTCCACACACACACAACTTGTTGATAGTTCATTAAATTGCAAATTGTTGACTGTAATTCATCCATTCTTGTGGTTTCTGTTTGTGTTGACAGATTTGTTGGGATCAAGCAAGTGATGTTTGGGGGAGCAGAATTTGAGAATTGGAAGGAGAACTTGACATCAGAGGAAGTGGGATATAGCGCTCACAAGATCTAGCCAATGTTCATAGAGATACTAATTATTGTTAAAGGATATAGAATTATATGCCAATTGTAAAATATCTGATCTTTCCTTGCCATCGTCGGTTGGTTGTATACTCAACAATTTCATGCAGCTTCCAAGACAATTTGTTGAGATGTACTGTGTAGCTTATTTGGAATAGGTTGGAAGAATGCATAGTGGATTGTTCCAAGACAAATGATAAGATGGAATTTATTCCCTTTGCAGCTATGGAAATGTGTGGCATATTTAATAATATTTCTTACCCAAAAAAGGAATGCATATTTAATATTTTAGGAGAAAATTATGAAAAAGAAATTATTTATTAGGGGAAACATTCAAGTGTTTTTTTTTTTTTTTAAGTTGCCAAAGTGAATAGCTATAGTTCTTTTTTGTTTAAATAAAAATTAAATCATAAAAGTTAGCATATGCGGTGATTATTTTATGAAACAATCAATTTTTTTAAAAAAAATTTATATTTTGTGAATTTTAAGAATGTTTGTTTAAACTTTTGAAAATAATAAGAATTAAAAAAATAGATTTTTGATTATTTTAAAAATTTACTTAAATAATTTTTGAAAATAATTTAATATGCAAAATGAAAGGATGTTTAAAAATACAAGATACCTTCAAAATACAAGATACGTGAATGTATTATAAAATTTTAAAATAATTAAATAATAAATTATTTTTATAAAATAAAGGTTAAAGAAGATATTGTAAAATTTAAAAATAATTAAATAATTATTATTGTAACTAAATGTAAAATAATGTTGGTTTTTTTTTAAAATTTCTATAAAATAATATCTTTTTATAAAATTTTTAAACTATTTAAAAATTATTTAGATTAATATTTTTTAGCAACATTAGAAAGAAAAAATAGAAAAACAAAGTAAAAAGAGACAATTGCCCAAATTTCTGAAACTTGGTTCTTTAATTTCGCACTTGTAATGACTATTTTGCCCTTATAACATTTGAAAAAGAAAACCCGCACCATAAAGAACCTCCAACATACACAATCGACTGCATATTCGTGGAAGGTCATTGCATCTAGGTGAAAGACGATGGAAGTGGTGTTAGTGGTGGTGGTTGCCAACAAAGTTGAGGAGTATTTAGCGAGTGTTGTAGTGCATTAACTATGAGATTGGAGGACAATCTTAGAGCATTGCATCAAAAGTTGATGACTTTGGTAAATAATTCTATTGATGCTTGAATTTGTTAGTGACATTTGTTCCCCCATTTGTTCTTCCTTTGTAATATTCTATCAAAGTAAAAATGGTAGAGGGAAAAGAACCAAACAAAGGAATGTCTAAGGTAGTAATTGGTTTGCACAAGTTTAAGTAGAAATTTTGGGTGGAAAAGAAAGGTAAAAGGATAATTAAGGAAATGGTAAAGGCAGACAATTGTGCAAGGGAAGCTTGGAAGAATTTTTCTAAGAGAGTAGCGAGTATGGTAGGATTGTAAAAGAAGAAAGAGAAAGAGCAGGTAGCTGCTCAACTAAGAAGCAAAATTGTTAACAAGATGCTTCCTAAAATAATTTGTGTAGTGGCAATTTTTGTGAGGAACAATTGATAGTTAAAATGTAACATCCTGAATTTTTTAATCTTATGATTAACTATTAATCAGGAATAAAGTGATAATTAGTAAATGATTAGAGATTTGGATGATCACTTGGTAATTTGATTTATTAGGATATTAAATGAACAGATACGAGTGGAAGGATAGCAATTCAGGTCGAAGTAAGTGCGCATGGTGAGAATTCTTCTCAGTGTGCCATGTGCCATGACATATGCTTCCTGTGTTGTGGAGCATGGACTAGAAAGTGACTTCTTAAGTCGTGAAATTTCATGAATTTAAAGGAAGAATTAGAAACACACGAGAAGGAGAAGAGAAGAGGCAAGAGTCTGCTAGGGCAAGCCATTTCAAAGTATTGGAAGGCACTTTTGATCAGTAACTTATCGGGTAAGTTATGTATAACCCGTACCTTTCATTTTACCTAAATTTCCTTGAATATGAATCATAGAGAAATTGAATTGATGAAATTTAAGGGGTTTAATTCTTGCCCAATGGTAATAAAAAAGTTATTGGGAGTTAAATTAGAGCTTTACAATTGGTTTAGAGCTGAATGATAGAGCTTTGAACTCGTAAGCTCCATTTAGCCATAAACTAAGAGGAGATTAAGGTGAAAATCTTGTTTAGCGAAAATAAGATCATTTGAAGTGATATGAAGTGGTAATCGAGCAGTAACTAACTTAAAATGGATAAGTGAAAAGGAATAAATTGTTTTGTTATAGCCATAATAATTATGTGCTTTTGGTCAAATTGGACCAATTAACTAAATTATGCTAATTATGTGTAGATTGGCATGTCGTGTGTGTAAGTTGAGAAAGGAAGCTTGTGATGAGCTATAGTGGTAGTTAAAATTCACGAGTAACATTTCTAGTAACAGAAAGGTTGAGGTAACTAAATAACATCCTCTGTTTGACTATCAATTGTAACCATATGTGAGTATGCTATGTAGTATATGAAATTGTTTTAAATTGAGTATGTCTTGTAGCATTGAATGTTTATAGCATAAAAAGGAATTTTGGTTAAACAAGTAATGAAATTTTGTAATTTGATATAGAAATGTATATATGTATAGATATAAGTAAAGTGGTAATTGGGAACCTATGACTGGTTCAGAAAGATGATCAGAGTTAAAACATATGCAAAAGCACAACAATTAAAGGAAGAATCAATACATTTGCATATAAACACAAAAACAGTGAACTATGCATAAAACAACACATGCGTTATGGTTTACTATAAGTGCACCATGGCTTGTGTGCCTTTGTGCCATAGGCTACAACGTGACATGCCATGTGCCATGGTGCATTGCACGAGTTAGACAACAATTTGCTGTTAAATTGATAGCACCTGGATGAATTTCGAACGTGTCTCATTTTTTCATTTGACATCTGATTGAAGTGATATAGGTATCTATAGAGAGCTTTCTCCTAACTCTAGCTAATGACATAAGTTTCACAATCAACTTACTTTTCTATCAAAAGTTGGCTACCTTTTACAAAACTAACTCCTTTTTAAAAATTACTCACTACTAGGGTGCCTAAATCACAACAAAGGTGTTAAAAGCCTACACTAACCTTTAGATCATACTCTATAATATCCTGAATTTTTTAATCTCGTGATTAGCAATTGATTGCGGGTAAAGTGGTAATTAGTATGGGATTAGAGATTTGGATGATTAGTTAATGATTTGTGTCTTTAGGATGATGTATGAACAAATATCGGTGGAAGGATCATATATGGTAAGGATTCTTCTCACTGTGCCACGCACCACGGCTTGTGCTGCATGCGTTGCGGTGTGTGGACCAAAAATGACCCTTTAAGTCATGAATTTTAGGTGAATTTTAGATGGGATAATCTGAAAACACATGAAAGGAGAAGACAGAAAACTGAGATCTGCTAAGGCAAGAGATTTCAGAGTGGTGGAAGGTGCTTCTAATTAGTAACTTGGCGGGTAAGCTATGTATAACTCTTACCTTCCATTCTACCCAAATTTATTTGAATATGAGTTATAGAGAAATTGAATTAGTGAGATTTTAAAGGTTTGATTCCTGCCCAATAGTAATAAAAAGGTTCTTAAGAGTTAAATTAGAGCTTTGCGATTGGTTTAGAATTGAACGATAGAACTTTTGAACCCGTAGGCTCGATTTGGCCTTAATTTAATGAGATTTTAGGGTGAAAATTTTGTTTGAGTAAAATGAGACTTGTTGAGGTGATGTAAGGTAGTAATTAAATAATAATGGACCTAGAACGGATAAATCAAAAGAAATATACAGCTAAATATGGCTATAAGCAGTAAATATATACTTTTGGTAAATTAGACTAAATGAATTAATTGTGCCAAATGCATTCAAATTGGCATATTGAGCATGTGAATTGAGAAAGGAATCTTATAACGAGCTGTTATGGTAGTTGAAATTCACAGGTAACCTTTCTAGTGACAAAAGGGTTGAGATAACCAAATAACTTCCTTTATTTGACTATTTGTTGTAACTATGTATGAGTTTGTTATGTAATGCATGAAATAGTTTTAAACTGAGCATGTTTTGTAGCATTGAATGTTTATTTCATTAAAAGAGATTTTGGTTAAACGAGTAATGAAATTTGTGTAATTTTTTGTGAAAATGTGTGTATGTATGAGTGAGGTGATGATTAAGAACCTATGAAAGGTTTGAAAAGCATGATCATAAGAGTGGGAGTTCACCCGAATAGAGAGGTGGTGATAAGGCCATATGGTGTGTTCTCCTTAGTGCTCAACGGGGTGTGGTGTTGGAGAATTATACCTCCTTAGTGCCTTTTACGGTATGATGTTAGAGATTTGAGACTCCGTAATGTCTGTGTGATATGGTGTTGGAGTCAATGACACCCCATTATGTGTATTACGTGAAAATCATAGTCCGAAAGTGAGATATAATACCTTTAGCTAGGTGATTCTACCATTGAAGGCGAGCTCAGGGCTAATGAGAGTGTACGTTAGTCCAAGGCAAGCCTATGATTTTGTGTCGGGATGATTTGGAGGTTCAGATGATAGTGATCATGCTAGATGTGGCTATATGCTGTGTTAGTGGAAAAGTAGGGAAAAGAGGTGAAACAAGTGTACAAGCGATGAAATGATTGATATAAGTGATATTTGAAATGAAACATTAGATTATATTATGATTAAAGGTATATTATGCTTTACTTTCATATGGTTACGTGTGATAGTCAATAGGAGTGAGTTATTCTGTTATTGAGATTTTTATTTCACCCTCATGTTACATTTTATAAGACAAAGCAGTGATCAGAGCAAAGGAAAAGAGTCAGGACTGGCTTAGAGCTATTGAAGCCATGTTAGCTCAGAGTATTGTGTAATGAAATGAGAACTCGCGTATATATGCATATATAACTTTCCATAGGATTGTATGCATATTTTGAATGATTGTAAGTGGTTGTAAGAAAATTGTGGTAATGTTGTGTGTTTTTAGTGAATCTTAGCCAATGTGTGAAAATTATGATGAAATGAGAAATTTGGGGCTAAGATTGAATTGTAAATATGTTATGAATGTAGATATATGGGATAGATGTGATTTTGGTGAGAAAAGGGCAAAGTAGGCCTAGTTGTGCCAAATTGTAACAAATTATGAAAAGTTGGAAAATGTGAAAATTGGCCGTCGAAAGGTTGA